ACACACGCAGTTTTGATATCTTTATTTATATCCATATGTACCCATGTGTTTGTTTGTTTATCTTATGTGACAAAGTTGAATATGTTATAATGTTTATGGTGTGTACGTCCCACTTGGTAGTGCGTCGACGGTGGCGTGTAAGTGAAACAGTATGTGCCGGATCCGTAGAGTTACGCACCCCTAGCTCTGTCAATATTTGGCGCAGTTGTCGGTACACAGCATTCAAGGTTGCAATGTATAATGAAAATATGCGCATGCATATTTGTGAATATATGTATATGCATATATGTTGTATGTATATGTATTTTGCAAATACACACACACACACACACACACACACACACACACACACACACACACACACACACACACACACACACCACACACACACACACACACAACACACACACAATATATATATATATATATATATATATATATATATATATATATATATTGATATATATATATATATATATATATATATATATATTATATATATATCTTTGACTTTTGATTTGGACCTACATATATACTTTCATTCATACTTACATACACATACATATGTACATGCATACATGCATACATCATACATGCATATGCACACACGCATATGCACACACACACACACACACAGCACACAAAATCCCCATACATATGAATATTCTGGTCCTTTTTTTTTTCTTCTTTTTTTTTTTATTATTTAATATCAAAGTTTTCTTCTTATCATATGTAAAGATTTTGTTTCCTGATCAGATGAAGCAAGCGGCTATACATATATATATATAATATATATATATATATATATATATATATATATATATATATATATATATAATATTATATATATATTATATTTTTTTTTTTTTTTTTTTTTTTTTTTTTTTTTTTAGCTTTGTTACTTTTCTCACAAGGTGCTAGAGCTTTGTATATCTCGATTTTCACAACATATAAAATTTTATTTTTAACATTCTACTACCTCCTTTCAGGTTACCGTTGCTTCAAGGCCGTGATGTTTCTAACTGGCTTCATCTTTGCTTCGGTGGTGGTGTACCTGATATGCCTGAGTGAGGACCTGCTACCCCTGATTGGTAACGCAGGCGTGTCCCTCGGGGCAGGCGTCATGTTCGGCCTCATCACGATGCTGGTTCAGTACGTGGGCCTCTTCATGACAGGTCTCCACACTGGTCTCTTCCTTGGTGTGGCTGGCATCGCTATAGCCTACAAGTGGTGAGCAGAACTTTCTAGAGAGGCATATAATTGATAGGAGAAAGCTTATTAAAATTGTTCATGGAGTTGATTTAAGATTTCTGCATTTCTCCCTTAAGAAAAGAAAAAATGTGGAGGATCAGTATTTGATTATAAAGTGATTTTTTTTTTATTTATTTTTTATTATTTTTTTTTTTTTTTCATAAACTCCAGGTGGGTCCCAAGCAGTGTATGGCCAGTGGTAGGAATCCTCCTTGCTGCAGGGCTGTTGCTGGCCATCACAACCCTGTACTTCCAGAAGGGACTGACCATCCTGGGCACAGCTATCAGTGGAGGAGCCATCATGTCTGCCACATTAGACTACTTTATTGAGAAGGTGAGAGGGCCCGATGAGGAGAAGCAATGATTTACAATCGTTGTATTTTGTAATGCAGTTTTCATCACCTTTTGTACATTGATAGAATATGAAGTAAGTCATTTAGGATGAGTTTGAATTTGTATTTCCAAACATATGGTATATATTTATATATCTGCATTGCTCTAAAGTATATTTGTTTGAATTTTATTATTGCTTTTTCTTTGCACTAATTTCTCATCCTTTCTTTTTCAAAGTTCCTGATGGTGCGTTGGTTTGAGGACCGACTGAAGGTGGTGGAGAGCGAGCCTCCGTGCTGGTTTTCCTGGATGATCCTGGGTGTGTGGCCCTTCATGGTGCTTGTGGGGAGCCTCACCCAGTGGAAGATTACAGGCAGAGGCATCTATCATCAGCAGTGTAAGTGTTTGTAGTGTGTCTTCAATTCTCAAAGGAAGGAAGGTAGAGGTTCAGCGTCAGTGTGTCCCTTGGCAGCAGGTGTCAGCCGAGAGAGTCTCCATTTTGTTGAACTTCCACGCGCCACACAAGGCCTGGATGATGCTGGTATTGTGCCAATCAGAATTTACAGTGATATCCAGTGTACCCTTTTAAAAGTAATTTGATGTACCCTTGCATGTGTCTGCCTGTTTAGGTGTCATCATTTCAACTACATGATATGCATACCAAGAGGGAGAAATACTATATCCTCACTAAATTAGTGTTCTGAAAATATGTCTATCCATATGTGCCTCTTATCTTTGGTAACGAGTGTCACAGTATAAAAGAGGGAAAAAATAAGATACATCGATATTACTGTCATTAAGAAGGAAAAATATCCTGAATAACAGTAAATGCTCTTTAATCTGCATTTGATGAGCATAAGCATTGATGACAATATTTTATAAGTTGTCGATAACATACGGGGGGAAGCATTAGTTTCTAAGAAATATGAATTTCCAAGATATACAGCTATTACAATTTATTGTATGTAATTTTGTTTTGATTACTCCCTTTTTTGCAATTTTTGGGGGACGATATTATCTTATAGCTTTATAATTAACTTTGATGGAGATTGCAGACTGCAGATACACTGAGTATTTTTCAGTTTAATATTAAGGTTCATGATATTTTTTTGACGTTTTCTAAAACATTCAAAGAAAAGAAATCATGGAATAATTCACACTTGTATTATATACAGAATATAAAGTAGATTTTTGAAATTTTCCAAGTATTAGGCTACTTTGTAGACATTGCAAAGTCTTATATTAAAGAGCCTTTACTAGTATAAGAAATATATTGTGCACACATCATGGAATTGGTGTGAGAGGAAGGTGTACTGATACCTACTTTTTTGTTTATCCTAACATAAACTAGTTTTTTTTTTTTCAGTAGAATTATGATTTCGGTTACTTTTTTCCAGTGGTGCCCTCCAAAAAATCTCGAAGTGTGAACCTCCAGCGAATGAGGAGTCGAGAGGCCCGGGCTGAGATGCGCCAGAAGAAATACCGGTATTTGTATCAAGTTCGTACTGCTCACGGGGACATCATCAGCCAGGTGAATATGCCAGTGTCCGATCTCAGATATACCACTGTTAGCGAGGCTTAGCAGTGTCTGTCTGGCGGATACGTGGTGGTGGGACTAACTGGTGGTTGTGTCGTCTAATGCAAGTGTCCAGGTATGCACTGTTGTCACCCTGTTAACGTCATGTTTACTGCCTTCTGCCTCCCTCTACAGTCTATGACATCTTCCTTGGTGAGGTACAGACCATCTTCTTCAGCATTGTTGTGAGTTTTAAATACCTCAATGGATATAACAAAATCACTAAATATTAGATACATAAGACTACTACTTCTTCCTTTCATTCATTCTTAATATGTTTCCTTGGAGCTTCTCTGTCTCTGCTTTTACTTCTTTACTTCTTTTTGTACTTATTTCCAAGAAGAGAAAATTGGTTATAAAAAAAGTAAAAAAATTCAGTATAAAAAAGAGCTTGAGTATTACAGGGTGCTTGTGGTGAATATCTATGATGTGTTGCAACATTTGCAAGAGCCCAGAAATATCGATTGACATCATTGGTATGCAGAATCAGACACAAAAAAAGAATATGTCTAGATCTGATGATGAACAAATTCCAAAAATAAACTAGGGGTACAAAAAGAGAAATTGATCCACCAGAAGTAAGAGGCTATATTCTCTCAATGATACAGATCACCAATAACTCGGCAATTGTAGTTTGTTTAGAAAGAGTGGTTCAAATTGAAACCACTATCCCCTTCTGATCATGTTGTGCTCATGAATTTCCAAGAGGTAAGACATAAACGAAGACATGAAAAACGATGTTAAAAAGATGCACAAATGGATTTACCAATTAGATATTTAAAAACACGCCTTTGGGCTTTAACGCCTCAAATTAATTATCATAATTACTGACTAGTGAACATGAAAACTCCGGAAAGAATGGAGGTTAAAGTAGATCTGGACATAATCATCAATTTTTTAATAATTTTTAAGAATAAAAGCTTTGTGTCTTTATAGTTAGAGAATAATTGTGTCAGTGAGTATGAATGTTGACAGTTTTGTCTTAGAAATTAGTCCATAGTTTCCAGTGTTGATCTTATCAGTTTTAGAAGTAGTGTGAGTGTAATGTATTATTACTATTATTAGATTTCATTTATTGTTGTTGTCTTATTATTGTTATTGTTGTTGTTATTGTTGATACTATTATTATTATTAATATTATTATTATGATTATTATTATGATTATTATGATTATTATTTCTATCACTATCATTTTATTTTACTGTTATTATTAATTTTATTATTTTTGTTTTTATTATTTTTTTTACTGTTATTTTTGTTGCCATCATTATTATTATTATTATTATTATTATTATTATTATTGTTGATATTGTTTTATTATTATTTTTTTATTATTATTATTATCACCATCATCATTATTACCATTATTATTATTGTTGTTGTTGTTGATTTGGTTATTATTTTTTAATTATTATTGTTATTTTTTTATTGTTATCATTTTATTGTTTTAATTTTTATTGTTATTGTTGCTATTATTATTGTTGCCATCATAATCATTATTATAATTATTATTATTGTTATTATTATTATTATTATTATTACTATTCTTGTTATTGTTGTTATTGATTTTGTTGTTATTGTTATTATTATTATTATTTTATATTATTGTTATTATTATTATTATTATATTATTATTATTAATTATTATTATTTTATTGTTGATATTTTTGTTATCATTTTATTGTTATTATTATTATTATTATTATTATTGTTATTGTTATTATTATTAAGGTTATAACTATCATTGGTTATTTTCATTTTTATTATTAAAATTACTGTTTTTATTATTATTAATTACAGTGACTAATATTATTATTATTATTATTATTATTATTATTAT